CATTTTAGGGAAGGAAAACAAGAAATTCCCAGTCAACATAAAAACAGAATTCAGGAAGGAATTTTCTTTTCTTATTTATGACCCTAATAATCCAACACCATTACCCAAATTCTTTCCTACACACAGTATTGCATTGGAACAAAGGAGCCAGATTGTAAGAGAGTGTGAGGGAAAAAAGGAGCCATGATTGCTGAGTCTTCTATAATGCTTTTAGTTTGCAAAATGACTTTATACATAACCAATAGAATTAGGTGTTTGTTAAATTATCTTTTTTATTTTCCCATTTATAGATAAGGACATGAGGTTTCAAGGTTCAGTAGCTTTTCCAAGTCTCATCATCAGGTAAAAGCCAGATTCAGTTTTTAACTGCCTATCTGTTAGGCCTGAAATTCAGTGGGTACTCTGCTACAACCTTGGGTGGGGGCTAAGAGTTGAACTGGAACTGGGTATTCACCTGGCCTATCAGAGAAGTGCTTTGCCTCTTGTGATGAGAGAGCTAAGCATGGCTGAGGATCACAGAGTGAACATAAGTAGCTCTGTGTTTCCATATGTGTACCAAGAAGACTGCTTGGATAGGGCTTCATCCTGGAGAAAGGTTGACGGAAATAGTTATTGTTCCCAAGCACTGAGACTAAAGCTATTTTATTATTGTATTTTTCCCCAACATCATGACAAAATTAAAAATTTGCAGGGCCATATTTTAGGTCTGTCCTGCCAAATAAATAGAGGGATGAATGAATCTAGATTCATATTTGATGACTTGAGTTTAATTGAATTTAATTAAATTTCCATATAATATCTGGATCTTATAGTGAAGTTTTATGTAAGATCATATAATATGAAAAAGGTTTTTTATTTTTGTTGTAAAATCCTTGTTGAAGACATCAAGTTTTTAAGGGCCATTTATATAAAGGTCTATATAACAATATTATCATTTTATTAACAGCAGCATCAACAAAATTCTCTTTCTGAGAATGGACTAATTTTCTTATATCAGATAATGATAATTAGTAAGACATTTTCCCTTTTTTTCTTGTTTATTAGCAAATTGATGACTAAATGTTTTATGGCAAACCACAGATACTACTTTAGTCAATACACTTGCGTGTCAGTCACCTCCTTTTTCTGCATGGTTTTCATTTGCTATTTTTAATAATATATATAATCATCTCATTCATATTTAGAAACTACAAAGGTTAAATTTAATAATAAAATCAGATAAAATAATCTCCATTTTAAAGTTGAGCATACTGAGATGTAGTGAAGATTTTCTAAGCTCTATTCTATCTACACCAATGTCTTTTCAGTTTCTAAAACATGACAACTGTTGTCCTGCCTCAGAAGTTCCACATATTATTTTCCATGCCTCTAAACCCCCTTCCTTTCCTTCCCTCCCTCAGATCAACCATCCCTTCATACCCTTTAACTTGCCCCCCCGCCCACACACACACACAGACACACCATTTTTTGGATAGTTGACTTTTTCAGGTCTTGATTTAATATTACTATTTCTGTCTTAGAATTTTTTTTTAACTATGCAATTGAAACAAGATACCAAGCCTCCTCCTCATACCATGCTATTATTTACAGCTGTACCTTGTTCTTCATTTTTCTCCCACAAATGCAATATATTAGTTTACTTGTGTGCCCCTTACTTGCCTTTAAGCTTCACAAGGAAGACACTAACTCTATTTCCTTCCCCATTGCATCCCCAAAACCTAGCCATTCCTGACACTTGGTAGTTAAGTAAACATTTAATAAGTGGCATGAATGAGTAAATTTAAACACATATTCACTAATACACACATATGTAATAACTGCAAGTTTTCTAAAGCCAAGTAAGTATTTATTTTTTTCATCATTCTATTTTAGTGCCTTCTTTAGTAACCGGTAACAAAAGCAATGACAATAATAGGTGCTTGATGAGTATTCATTAAATTAATGGAAAAAATCCTTTAGAAATTATTTTTGGAAGCCACTTATAATCTGTTATTTAATGGGTTCAGATAACCATATAGTTGCAAAATATTTAGAATTCCAATAACCCTTTTGAAGTCTAGAACATGAACTAGCTAAATCCAGGGATCACAAAAGCAAAAACACAATGCAAGAAGTGAGTTAAGTGTGCCAAGGCTGGAAAAAAGTGCTGTCACTCTGTAATCACTCATACCTCCTGAAAACATTCACATGACTTACCATCAGTGTGGCCAACTTGGACAATGAAGGGCAGCATATAGTATATATGTTTTTATTTTCATAAATATTCATTTAAATATTCAAAATATGTATTGAATGGCTTCTATGTCCCAGAATTTTTCTCTGAGTATTTGGAATATATCAGTGAAACATACACGCACACGCACGCGCCCACGCGCGCGCATGCACGCGCACACATAAAGATCTCTTTCTTTGAGGAGTTTAAATTCTAATAGGATGGAGAGGAAGAGCCGGACAATAAACAATAAACATAACAAATAAATAAATTATATGGTATGTTAAATTATATTAAGAGCTATGGGTGAAAAACAGAGTTAGGTAAAAAGATTCAAGAGCACTGGGTTTGTGAGAGAGAAGAGTTTACAGGATTAAAAAGGGTAGGCTGATAGGGCCTCAATGAGTAGGTAAGATTTTAGCAAAGATTTGAAGGCAAGAAGAGAGTCGGCAAGAGAAATAGCTAATGCAAAGGCCATTGGATGGGAGCATGTCAGGCACCTTTGAGAAGTAAGAAGTACTGGCACTGAAGTAGAATGAGCAAAGGGGAAGCATACTAGGAAATGAAATCAGAAAGGTAATAGGGTGGGGACAGATTATTTAGGACAATGGTAAAGACTTTGGCTTCTGCTTTGAGTGGAATGGAAGTTACCGAGGAGTTGACTTAAGATAACTTCCTGAAAAGATCACTCTGGATGTTGTACAAGTTTGGAGGCTATTACTTTATGCCTGGTAAAAGATGATGGTGGTTTGATTCAACATGGTATCTGTGAAGGTGGTTAGAAGTGGTAGGATTCTAGGATATATTTTAAAAGGTAGAGTTAACAGGATTTTGTGACGAATTATCATGTATAAGAGAAAGAAGGGAATCAGTGAAAATTTTAAGTTTTAAACTTGATCAATTCTAAGTATGAATGAATTTTTCATTCTTTTTTTTTACTGTTCTACATAAGAATTATAATATTTGGCTCATTAATAATTCATCCTAAGGCAAAAGTTATACCCTCGAGCAAGTTATAATCAGAATTTACTTTTGGGACTTAAAACATTGTTTCTATACTCTTTTTAATTTTAATTTTGCCTAATTCAGCATTTTACAGTTATGAGACAAAGCTATATTTTAAAATGTCACTGAGTAATTTAAGATTATATAATCATGTTTTCCTGCTCATCTGAAAATATTGCTATTGTTCAACATGGGGCATATCCTTTGCAGTTTAGCTTTAAGAGCACAAGAAGTGGCTATGTCTTGGTAAACCACGTATTACATTTATGGAGTGCTTTATCATTTCTGGAATGCTTTGACATGTCTTTTCTCATTCCAGCCTCTCCACAACTCTGAGAGACAGCAGAGAAGGACATATGTACAGGAAATTGAAGAGTTTGAGTGACTGAGTGGCCAACATGAGAACTTCTTCTTGCCTAGGTTCAGCCCCTTCACTCCTGTGCTTTGATCCAGCTTCAGCTGATGAAGAAGATTGGGGAATTTGGAGTGCCCTGTGCATACTCAGAGCTAAGTGTCTAACAAAAAGCCCCAATCTATGACCTTGTCCTCATTGATGATGCCCCAGTAAATTGGATTAACAAACCACCTTATACATTAGAGCTAATCACATCACCAGAATGATTTAGTCATGTCACCCTTTATTTTTTTCAGAACTCTCACTATTTTTATATTTTCTCATCCACGCCATCTTTTTTTATTCAGGAAGATCAGCAACAGCTTTGCTGGCCTCTCCACAAAGTACTATAATTTGCTTTGTGGATTAAAATCAAAGAACTTGGAAAATTAACAATGTCATTAGAAGATACAAAAATCCAAGAAGAAAGATGCCATTGTAAGGCTCACAATATGTGGTAGATATATATCTATTTTTCTTTGTCTTGTTGAATCCTGAAACTATCAAATAATAACTTGCCTTATTGTCAAAAGTCTGGTGGGAAACCTAATAACAGGCATTAGTAGTGCCTGCATCAGGACCAAGCCCTTTGGACTTCAGTGTCCTCGTCTTTTAATCTTTCATCCAGCTACTGCAAGCACCTGGCTCCCAAAATTCAGCTAGGTAAATAAAATGAGAATAATAATATTACTGCAATGCCTTTCTTTTCTTTAAATTAAACCATGCAAGTAATTTATACCAATCTCTTTTTCAGACACAGAAATGAAGTCTTTCGGGAATTTAAAGATAACCTCAGCGTATTTGACAAGCCTGGGCAGTTATGGGGAGGGTGGGGAAAGAGAAGGAAAGTCATTTGAGACAGTAAAAGACATTTAACTGCTATGGAGGAAGAAATTTTAATGGGTGTAGAAAGAATCATTTTTAAGAAGTGCAGACCAATGCAAAATGGTATTATTAATAAGTAATATCATTAAAGAGACCATTCTTTCTAATCACTCACACCTCTGAATCATCTTGGGGTTCCCTGACTTCCTAGCTCTCTCTACCCTCCAGCAGTGACGCCCCTTCTCCCAATCATTGTCAGAGGTTTAAGTGCCATCGTCAGAGAGCAGCTTATTATCTGCCTGCTCCCCCAGCTTCTTTCTGAGTGACACACACCCACGCCTCCCCATACAGCTCCCTTCCTTCCGCGGCTCCCGCGAGGGAATCTGAGGAGCAAGAGAGGGAGCCCGAGGCCACCTTTGCCTGAACCCCCAAAACACGAGGTTTCAAGACCCTTATTCACCCACTGAGTCTATGCCCTGGCCGTTCTGCCACCCCTCGCCGCGAGCCGCAGGAGTAGGAGCCAGTCCTGCGCTGCGCTTCCAGCTGCGTCTGCCCGAGTGCGGCACGTGCTCCCGGCGCTGGCGCGAGAGAGCCAGCGCCACCGCCGCGGGCCCCGCAGCGGTTCTGCCTGCTGTCACAGCTGCCTCCGTCGCTGCCACTAGCGCTCCAGCTGCAGCCGAGGCCGCTACGAGAGCGCAGGAAGCCCGGGAGGAGCGTCTGGCCAGGGGCGCAAGGCTCAGGGCGCGCACCTGGTAAGCACAGCGCTGTTTTTCATTCTCTCAGCTGTAGAGTTACCGCGGATGTAGGATGCCGCTGGAGCCCCTCCCCCAGCGCGGGGATGGAGAGAGACCAGGCAAGGGGCGGGAGCTGGGGCTAAAGAGACTCTGGAGGGCAGGTGGTGGGCAGGTGGAGGACTGGTGAAGCCAGGGCCGCTACAAGGTCCTGCAAGTTTGGAAAAGTGACCCTGCAAGGACGTGTGCTGTGTAAATCAGACATAAATTTGAGGCAGGAGCCTGAGCTACCGCGGCATCGCTCCAATGGGAGGTTTATGAAGATCATTTTGCTTTTATTTGCATATGTGAGGGATTTAAGTGGGCTCGTTTCCATAGGAAACGAACTAAAAAAATCAGAGGAGAAAAAAAAAATAAAGATCTGAGCCAACCGATGGGTTTGGATCTCTGTCTCTCTCTCTTTCTCTCTCATACCGATACATGGGCATGGAAGGTGTGCATTTACTAAAGGAGGAGGGCTCCTGTATTTTCGAGTCCATTAGGTGTTGAAGGGCTAATAAGAGCACTTGCTGGTGCTTCAAACCAAAAGAGGCAGCCAAGGAGGGACCTGGTTTGGTGTGGATACCAGTGTTCCATTTCTAAAATGACACTTCATTGACTACAGTACAAGGAGAAAGAGGTTTTTTAGAACTGTGGGCCATTTTAAGATGGTACACATGCAACTCTGGACCTATAAACTGAAGTTCACGTGCTCCCAGTGGAGCTAGGAAAACATCTGTCCTCTTGGTTCCTTTATGGAACTTTGGCAAAGGATGATGATGATGATGATGATGATGTGCGTGCGTGTGTGTGTGTGTGTGTGTGTGTGTGTGTGTGTCTGTGTGTGTGTGAGAGAGAGAGACAGAGAAAGACAGAGAGAGAAATGTGGAGAGAAAGGCAAGAGAAGGGAGCTGGATATGACTGAATAGGCTGAGTGGGGTGGTACGAGGAACAAGAACCTGGCAGTCAGGGTTGACATTACCGTGTTCATTCATTTCCTCCCTGAATAGTCCCTAGGCTGGTCTCTAGGGAAATGTGTGACCTTGAACAAGTCTCTTAACCTTTGTGTACTCAGTTTCTCCATCTGCAAAATGTAGAGACTGTTCTGCATTTTGGGACAATAAGGTCTGATGCAGTGTGTCTATGATTATATGGGTCTGAGGGTCTGCCTACAAGGAAGGAAGAACACCCAAAAAATATGAATAAAGAAAGCTTCAAGGCATTCTCTCTCAAAGTATCAAAGGCAGTTGCAAGACTCTGGCTGTGTTGTTAAAGTAATGTATGCCAAGAAGTCTGTGGAAATGATTGAGGGTACTCAGACACCCAGCCCACAGCCAGGGGAACCTGGAGTCCTGAGAGTGGTTTGGAGGGATTCAGATCCACAGAACCTAAGGTCATATACCTGTTTTGGGGTAGCAACTGGAGGAGGTTTGGTGGCAAGGAAAATGAGTGTGTCAATCCAGTTTAAAGGTTAGGCATTCAGGTGGCAGGAAGAAGGTTTGAGAGTGAGAAATGCATATATCAGAGTCTGGACAGAGGGATTTTCAGGGAAAAGGGAATGGCTATTCCTCCTGGCACAAGGATTTCTATACCCCTAAGAGGCAAATGGCACTTACCACGTCCTTAGTCCTTGACACCTCTTCTGCTTGTGTGAAGAAGGCACAGTTACCCTTTGCCCCTCAATACAGTCTCATTCTTAGAATTAGGGATTTTCATCCCAGGTGCTGAAATGTGACGATCAACATTCAAAAACTCAAGTCCTGGGAGTGCCTCCAGCTCACTCACCATGTGAGCATCTGGCTGCAGAGAGCTGATCTACCCATCCAGATTTGCCCAGGAGTCTGTGTTCCTAAAGGAAATCACTGTGCCACTTGGTGGCACCAAAAAGTTGCACAAAGAACTCTGTTCTCTATAAATACAAACTACCGCCCCTCCCTCCTCCGCTCTCTCCCCTTCCCCCCTTCCCCCCTTTCTCAGTAGCGGGGAGATTGCTGCACAAGCCGCCCTCAGCTCCGCTGTTCTACGCGCATTGAGCGCAGGGGGATGAGCTTGAGATCATTTTGGGGGGGAAGCCCGGGACTGGAGAGGCCGGCTTTGCTCCGCTGATCCCTACAGCCCAACTTTTCGGGGGCTAGCTAGACCGCATCTCACTGCCCGCTGCGCGGCCGACAGGGGGTAAGCTTTCTAAATGTCTGTGTGCTCAGGTGTCCCCTGGCCAGAGAAGGATTTAGGAGCTGTTAGCTTGCTGTGTAGCTCACAGTTTGGTTTGGGGGAGAGGGACGCGGGGGGAGAGGGGGTGGCCAGAGCCAACGAGGTTCAAATCTACTCCACTTGCGAACCCCTTTGGTTAAACCTGTTGGGAGGAAAGGCGCAAGCAATAGGGTAAAAGAGGGAAGGTTTACAGGGGTTGAGAAGGGGATTCTGCATGCCTTCGGATCCGAGTTTCCATTCCCTAAGGCCAGGTGCGCATGGTGGTCGAATGCACACTGTGCTTCCAGACCGCCGGAAGGCTCGAAATTGTGAAAAGCAAAGGTGGAGAGTGAGTGAGGAAGGAGAATCACTTCCCAATAGATCGGTTAGCAGCCGCATCGTGGCGCCTGCTGCAGGAAGAGGGGGGACAGCGGGTGGTGCTGAAAGCACATCTCTTTCACTCAGGCTGGAGTGCCTCTCTCCCAACACCAATCTGAGCCCTCCCGCTCTTTCCTCTCCCATGTATTTATCTTTCTCTTCCTTCACAAAGCCTGCTGGTTAACCGAAGGAAGCAACATGAGCGACATGCTGAAAAGTGAGCCCAGGCTACAGCGACTTGGGGAAGAGAACCTAGGGAGGCCCAGAAGTGTGAAGGCTGGACAGTGGCCGGAGCCTAAACTGCACTGGGGACCTCTCAGAGGGAAGTGACGGGTCCACCTGCAAGGCTCTTCCACCTGGTGATCCAATTATTGGCTGCTCCCATTTCCCTCCAGAGCAGGTGCTGTGGGGAAGGGAAATTGAGAGGATAACAAGCACTTGTGCTTATTCAGGCACACTCTTCGTGCTGCCTCAGCTGAACTGTAAGCTTGAGTAGCCACGCAGATAGATTCTGCAACACTACTTTTCAGTAAGAAATGGGCACAGACCAGTGGGAAGGCAATGTCTCCCTTCCACTTTCTTCTCCACTGCCTTCATGGTGTTCTATTGTTCAGAGTCGCTCAAAACTAATTTGTATCCCTGTTTGGAGCAGCCAAAGGACCATTGCCTTGAACTAAATGCAGCCCTTCCTCCAGTGGGGCATAAGCAAGGGGTTTCTGTGGAAGCTTCTCAGTTGCATGACTTTCTATTAGGGATTTTGGAGTGTTTAGTTATGCTACCTCTTGTTAGGTGTGCTCTGTGCTGTTCCCTTTGTGGAGCACAGGGAATTTTCTCCTTTAATTTTTCTGTCATCTCCATGCAAGTACACATTTCAGAATCGGTTCTGGCTATTTCCATCCTTTATAAATGTATGCTTCCATTTAAAAGAATCATTGGTTTGGGAATTAAAAATACTGCTACCTGAACTCATTGGATTTGTAGTTTGCATCCCGTCAAATCTCCAGCCTTCTCCAGTATAAATATCTTCAGCACTCTGGACAGATCCTTCAAAGGTTCCTAGCAGAAAAAAATGCATAGAACACTTTCTAACTGCTCTTAAGAAAAAAATCTTTCTCTAGTCATTTACACTCTGCATGACAAAACATACAATGTAGATATTTTAATTGCACCCCCTAGAGTTTTGTGCTATCACATGACAGTGTTTTGGCTGTGGGCTATATGTTCAAAAGAAACCAACCTCTTCAATGTTCATTTGTGAAAGGACATATTATGATTATTTGGGGGAAGGGGATGGTATTTAAATAATCCAAATACTTGATGAGTTCTTCACTTTAATTTCATAGGTAGACACCGGCCTCTACCATCACTTCCTAGTACACATTATGGACATGATGACAAACACTTAGGGGAGAACTGAAAAATTCACTCGTAGATACTATATCCAACCATCACAAATTATCCAGACTTTGGGAATACTTGAGTAAATACATATCGTTTTTAGTTTTTGCTCTATTATTTCCATTGTTACATTACATTGAATATTTTATAGGAGTCGTACTATATTGTCTTTTTAAAAATGTCATTTTAGACAGAAAAACTAAATTAAATGGCAATAAAAGGTAGGTGATAGTACAAACAGAAAATATGAAATAGTTCATCATGACAAATTTGTACTTATTTGTATACTTCTTTTATCCCAGGCTTTCTATCCTTATGCGATGAAGAAAGAGATATATCCAAATATTCCTCCTTATGCTTTGTTTTGCTTATATATATATATATATTGCTTATATATATAAAATATCTCATATGTATATGAGATATTTTTATCCATATCTTTATATAGATAGATAAATCAAGTGTATACCAAATTTATAAAATAGTGAAGACTACGTTTTGATATTTGTTTTTATATCTGACATATGCTAAAGGTAATTTGATTCATTTGGAGTTTGGATGTACTGAAAGTATATTATTACATAGGTGGAACATTCTGCAGTTTGGAAATACGTGTTATTTTTCATATTCAGCAAAATATTTATGCTAGCTCTTTGATATCATTTAGCTGTCATTTTAGTCAGTGAGGAGAGATTAAGAGAGCATAAGAAGACAGGAGCAGCATCAAAAGAAATATTTTTAGTTCATGATGTATTTGTATAACCCCAAAAAAGAAAATTTAAATTTTGATTTTGAATTTTCAACTGTTTGTAAATCAGATATCTTTCTGATATTCGTTTATTTCAGTTGTTTGAAATGTGTTTCTAAAAATCATTATGACATAGTTTGCTTTTATTTCCTTTAAATTCACAGAGAGGAGGAAAAAATCTATAATTTACCAGTCCCAGAGCTAGAAAAGGGCAGAAATAAGAAAATATATATATCTGCTTTGTTTGGAACTCAAACTTATACTGCTT